CAAACACCTGGTACCATGACTATTTAATAGTGATTCATTAACACGTGTTCATGCTATAGTCGGAAACGTAAATGAAAATGGTTTTGTCGCTGTATTTATGTCAAGTTAAGCATGGTTCATATACCATTTATTTATAAAGTTAATCTATTATAAATACTTAATAATGTTCTGAAGTATTTGAAGCAATGGTTCGTGGCTACGCATCCACCATGTTTCTCTTCACAGTGGCGTCTGTCTATAGATCCCTCTTCTTTCGAACTCGGGTTGTCAAGACAGTCCAGATAGATATTCATGTATGCATACTTCTGCAATTTGTCAAAAGCATTGGATGGCGTTCAACAGCATCCAAAGCCCCAGATGTAATTATTTTCAGTTACGCTGGCAGTGATGTATAGATAGTACATTTGAATTTCTAAAATAGCATAGTTAAGCACGATTTATGGAAGAAAAACAGCACCTGTCAGTCATGTTATGTACTTGCATATTCTAGTACCCAGCAACTGATGCTATAATTTCTAACCGGTTTTTGAAAAGGTTTATCAAAGGCCCCATATATGTTTCATGCCATGTCTCAACTTACATTGCAAGTATTTGTAATTCTTTACCATTCAACGTCTCTTGGGTTTAACCAAAGTGGTAAAAGTTAGTGCCGGCATGCTCCCGCATCAAGCTGACTTACCCCTCACCACCCCGCCGCCCCGTCCCTCCCTCCCTCCCTCACTCACTCACTCACTCACCCACTCACTCACTCACTCACTCACTCACTCACTCACTCACTCACTCACTCACTCACTCACTCACTCACTCAGCATGTGTTTAGGTATTAAACACATTCAAGACATGTTTAACTCTGAATGTGTTTAGGGTTGTGGTTCCTTAAGGCATATAAAAGGTTGATCGAAACACATAAAAGGGACCAATATTTCACTACACACCCAAAATACACATTTAGATTCTTAGCATGTCCAGATGTAAGTTACAAGGAACGTGGTTACGTTTGTGTTTAGGATTTCAGACCATATTTATGGTGTATATGCAGCACAATGTATTCTCGTGCATTTATGTACTGAAACATCGACCAGCGAGACGTATCATAAATATTATCTGAAATATACTTCCGTTTTAGATGATTAAATGTACAAAATGCCTTGCAAGATGCTAACCTGAAGAGCATTTCCACAAATTATTTTTTTTTGCAGTTTGGTATTTTTACCAGCTATGGAAGCTTTCAAATGTTTTCTTTCAACGTCGTCCAATTTATTATTCACACATATGACCTACGTTTATTTCTACGCGAAGATAAAAGGGACGATTGAGATGCGGAAAGTTGAGAAGGTTACCGCGGCGAGGAACATTAATGGTTTAAATCTCCTCACATGCTTGTACGTTACGCTATTTGTATATACTCTCTGAAGGAAGCACTTGTTTATCAGTGAAGTGTATATAGTGTCAAGAATGATATGTACTTTATAAACACTCTTCACCTTCACTGTTTATAGATGTAGATAAATAGGTGTTGGAGAAAGGAATACCTGTCATAGCTTCCAGCTACACAATATCCTGTCTGTGTTGTTTGAGGAAGAGTATCCTCAAACACTTATATCCAGCGCCGTCTTACTTCTAAACATGTTCGGGGGCACGGGTGGCCCAGTCGTCTAAGGCGCCGCGATTCGCTGTGCAGAGTTGCGTCCCTTGGACACGCCAGAAACCTATGATTGTGGGTTCGAATCCCGGTTCACCCCGATTATGTTTCTAGGTTTGTCAGCACCATACCCGTGCTCGTGGGTTTCACCGAAGTAGTAAACGTCTGAGACCTGCATCACTTCGGGCTTTCCTCCCACATTACGCTTACACGCCGTGATATAACTAGAAAACTGTTAAAAGCGGCGTTAAACCCAACTCACTCACTCACTCTAAATATGTTTATACACATGATCACCTCGTGATGTTCAAGACATAAAAACATACACCAGCCTTAATTATGTTTATGATATTATCAATCGTGTTTGGCTATGAGTAATATGGTAGTCATATAAAGCTCTATTACTGCGTAAAAAGACCTGACATAATACATAAACATTGTTTTCAATGTGAAAAAAGCTCATATTGTGTTAGAGTACACATCTGAAATGTACATGTACACGGGGCTATTGTTATTATTGAGAGAGTCATACAATTGGTAGGTATTATTCTATTCTGTCATAGTTCTGGGATATTAAACGAGCTTCCCATTTCATAACAAGTTAATGTCCCGAGTGAAATCATTGCTTCTGTACGAGCTTTAGCGAGTGATGGGTTCACGTCAGAATTGTGTTAACAGAGCTGGTTAGTTTGACATATCATAACAAGGAGCTAACACACACCTTAGAATAACAAGCAAATTTAAGTCATGTTCGTGGTATTATCGCCGGTATAAGTCTTCATCACATGACGGATTGCATCGCTGAAGATCAGCAGCGACGACTGACAACAAAAGCGACAGGGCCCATCCCATGGCCACAGGAAATCTCAGCTGAAAGCACATTTTTTCCAGTATAATAATGAAAGTGATTCCCATTGCTGAGTTGTGTAGATCAGTCCTCCCACTTGACTATTTGTCGCACATGATAAACATACTTTTGGTTGCGATCACAACATCACCAGAATCAGTAAAAAAAGAGCGACAAAACCCTTTCCATATCCATCAAAATCTCGGCATAAAGCAGAGTCGATTGTATGATTCCGACAATATCATGAGCATGTGTTTATGAATAACTATTAAATAGTGATGATACCAGATGTTCGCGAAAAGGTTATCGTATCTTGCTCCACCGGTAGCACTCGTCACAAACACATGCAAAGGCAAGTCAATTGTTCATCTGAAAAAAAACACGGAAACACATGGTATTATTGCATCGGACATCATTTTTGTCATTGATACGTCAAATTTGAAAATGTTCTCAACATGTCCACTATGAAACTTGAAAGATTTACTGAGGCCTTGATCAAACAACTGTTGTATGACGCTTTTTCAAAAAATCTTGGTAGAAAGAGCATGTTCGATTATATCTCAAAAGCCACATAAAGGCTCACCTGAAACATTGTGAGGCTGGAATATTGCTCGACGTAAAGGGAAAGTTGACGATTGGAAAGTTGAAGTCATCCATCTTGTCATTCGGTCTTGTGGAGAGTGTTCTGTCACTCTGAATCGTTATGCAAAGATCTAAATATGAAATAGATGACACGGTCTCACTGTTGGCCTTTATTTCTAGTTCAGGTGGGTAAATCAGTGGAAGGGAATTGGCTATTTCATGGTTATTGAACAATATAGGATCAGCGATATAGCTGGAGCTTCAGTTAAACTTCTTTGTTTTCATCTGCCAATGCGAGAAGAAATTCTTATTCCGATGCATAACGAAACAGATCAGCAAGAAGGGGATCCACGGGTGTTACCCTCATATTCGCATGGTTATTATTCTAGGTGTGTTGGTGTGTTTGATGAAATTCATTGATTATAATATAGAGAACAGTCTATTTAAAACTTGATATTTTGAAGTGCGTGTTATTGCCATAGATGAGAATATGAGTGAGTGAGTGAGTGAGTTGGGTTTAACGCCGCTTTTAACAGTATTCCAGTCATATCACGGCGTGTCAGCTTAATGTGGGAGGAAAGCACGAAGTGATGCAGGTCTCAGACGTTTACCACTTCGGTGAAACCCACGAGCACGGGTATGGTGCTGACAAACCTAGAAACATAATCGGGGTGAACCGGGATTCGAACCCACAAACATAGGTTTCTGGCGTGTCCAAGGGACGCAACTCTGCACAGCGAATCGCGGCGCCTTAGACGACCGGGGCACCTGTGCCCCCTGATGAGAATATGAAACGCATTAACAAAACAACATTATTATGATTTTTTAAGTAGGTAATACAACCACTACACAGTGTTAATAAACTAAATAATGAATTTAATTCACTGGAACAAATACATGTACGTAGGTGAGTTGTGGACTTCATAGATGCTTTTAACTATAAGATTAGGAATGGCAAGGTGACCACAACCCTGAACGAGTTGAAGAACACTTTTTGCATTACAAATTTGGCCTTGAGAGAAGATCTGGTTGTTGTATCCATGTATAAAGTACTGGTAAAGTGAATAAGTATAGTCAGCAAAATTCCGGCAATACAATAACACGCCTTAGGACACCAGAAATATGCTCACACATGGTACTCATGTTGTGAATATTGTGTGACCCCACCTGTATGAATTCCTTGACAGACTAAACGACTTTGGTGGCCGAGTGGTCCAAAGATCTGCAATTTACTGAGCAGAGTTACGCCCCTTAGCTGACAGGATGCTCAGATTCTGTGATGAGTTCTACAGTTGACTTGCATCATCCGAGATGGAGCCTTCACTATCAAACTCTGGTTTGTTGGGTCCATATCTGAGCTCTTTTGGTGTGGCCTGGACTAGAGCATGTTCCATTATAATATACATAATAACAGGTAAATATTATCTCATGTTACCTTAAACAGGCAAACAAACAAAATGAAAGTTATATAGGCTGAACTTTGTTAAAACAAACAAAGGTTTCTAGAGGTTTTTATGCATTCAGAACAAACCAGTGATGAGGAAAAAATATATCTCAGATTTCTTTTACGTTTTTGTTTTCAATTTTGTGAAACATAGTCAAGGAATTGCTTTCACAAATAGCATGCATGTGAGACTTCTTGATGAAGTTAATAAATAATAATAGAGTTGGAATTGTACACCGGAGTCAGAAATGTCGAATGGTAATGGTTACATTGTTGACTTGCCTTTGCATGTGTTTGTGAAGGGTGCCACTGGTGGGGAAGGATACGCTCACCCTTCATCTGGTATCATCACTATAAAATTTTGAAAGTGATACATAAACACATGCTTATGACATAGTAAGAATAGATTCTGCTTTTAGCATGAATGTTTTTATGGACCAAGTTTTCTCGCTTTTATTTATTGGTAGTTCCATATTTACTTTCAGTCATTCTGCCTGGTCCCGACTGCAACCAGGATATCAACGATATAGAAGGCGCGGAAGTCGTGGGCAAGGGGACCACGGCCTACATGGACAGGTGTGAGGTCAATCTGTCCACGGGGAGCACTGACCACTGGATGTTCCATGCCTCCGACATGTCATTGATGAGCTGTCTGGTCTCCGTGAAGCTGTATGACAGGAGGAGCGCATCGTCACATCCCTTGGTGAGTGGCATAATACTGACTGTGATCTTTCCATGCATCCATTCATAATAATAATAATAAAAATAACTACAGATTTATAAAGCGCTGGTATCCAGTTCGAAGAACTGCTCAAAAGCGCTTCATTTGAGTCTACACAAAAAAAGAGACATTACACAGCTAGGAAAACACAAAGCCTCAATACTCTAAGAAAGATTTGGTGAAAAGATGGAGACTTGGGCACCAGACCGAGGAGCGATGTACATCTTAAACTGCCCAGTTATCTAGCTATCTAAAATTGTTCCTGTCTACTACATCACGTATGGAAATCTCAGAATAACCGGTTCACTCACAAATAAGCCCCATTACTCACCGGGCAATAGTTAGACAGTCTGGACTTAGATTGGATGCGAAAAGTAGGTCGACCAGAGACTCAACCACTCCTGTAAAGTGAACGACACGATAAACTATATATTCACTAGTCGCGTACAGGGTTTAATCTTGGAGAAAAAAGGTATTTACCGTATATTTACCTTAATGTAGATTGATCGGATCAGGTTGGCGGATTATGTGGTATTAATCAGTCGCAGTGATAACGTACAACATTCATCTATGAAGAGAAGTACTGTTAAGGCAAACAAGTTTCCGAAATTCCCTCCCTGTAACTAAGTGTTTAGAAATGGTTTTGCGGAATTAAGAGAGATCCATCCACGACATACAAGCGTTAATGTGAGCTGACTAGTATGTGGAAAACACAGTGTTAAATGGATTTTGTTTTTTTACAATGCTATAAAATCACAACAGCCACGGAAAGACCAGAGCCGTTGGAAAGTAGTTTGTCCATTGAAAGCGGAATGTTTGTTTGATGATAATCTCAGGGAAACTCGGTGTCTGGGGTGAAATGGATGTTAACAAGCTGCTGTCAGTGTAGTGATACACGTCAAGTCAATCTGCTGTCAGTGTGCTGATACTATTTAGGTCAATCTGCTGTCAGTGTACTGATACAAGTCAAGTCAATCTGCTGTCAGTGTACTGATACAAGTCAAGTCAATCTGCTGTCAGTGTACTGATACAAGTCAGGTCAGTCTGCTGTCAGTGTACTGATACAAGTCAGGTCAGTCTGCTGTCAGTGTACTGTTACAAGTCAGGTCAATCTGCTGTCAGTGTACTGTTACAAGTCAGGTCAATCTGCTGTCAGTGTACTGATACAAGTCAGGTCAGTCTGCTGTCAGTGTACTGATACAAGTCAGGTCAATCTGCTGTCAGTGTACTGATACAAGTCAAGTCAATCTGCTGTCAGTGTACTGATACAAGTCAGGTCAATCTGCTGTCAGTGTACTGATACAAGTCAAGTCAATCTGCTGTCAGGGTACTGATACAAGTCAGGTCAGTCTGCTGTCAGTGTACTGATACAAGTCAGGTCAGTCTGCTGTCAGTGTACTGTTACAAGTCAGGTCAATCTGCTGTCAGTGTACTGATACAAGTCAGGTCAGTCTGCTGTCAGTGTACTGATACAAGTCAAGTCAATCTGCTGGCAGTGTACTGATACAAGTCAAGTCAATCTGCTGTCAGTGTACTGATACAAGTCAGGTCAATCTGCTGGCATTGTACTGATACAAGTCAGGTCAATCTGCTGTCAGTGTACTGATACAAGTCAAGTCAATCTGCTGGCAGTGTACTGATACAAGTCAAGTCAATCTGCTGTCAGTGTACTGATACAAGTCAGGTCAATCTGCTGGCATTGTACTGATACAAGTCAGGTCAATCTGCTGTCAGTGTACTGATACAAGTCAGGTCAATCTGCTGTCAGTGTACTGATACAAGTCAGGTCAGTCTGCTGTCAGTGTAGTGATACACGTCAAGTCAATCTGCTGTCAGTGTACTGATACAAGTCAGGTCAATCTGCTGGCAGTGTACTGATACAAGTCAGGTCAATCTGCTGTCAGTGTACTGTTACAAGTCAGGTCAATCTGCTGTCAGTGTACTGATACAAGTCAGGTCAATCTGCTGTCAGTGTACTGATACAAGACGAGTCAATCTTCTGTCAGTGTGCTGATACTATTTAGGTCAATCTGCTGTCAGTGTACTGATACAAGTCAAGTCAATCTGCTGTCAGTGTACTGATACAAGCCAAGTCAATCTGCTGTCAGTGTACTGATACAAGTCAGGTCAATCTGCTGTCAGTGTACTGATACAAGTCAAGTCAATCTGCTGTCAGTGTACTGATACAAGTCAAGTCAATCTGCTGTCAGTGTACTGATACAAGTCAAGTCAATCTGCTGTCAGTGTACTGATACAAGTCAAGTCAATCTGCTGTCAGTGTACTGATACAAGTCAGGTCAATCTGCTGTCAGTGTACTGTTACAAGTGAAGTCAAGTTAAAGTTTATGTATAGGCCTCAGGCCAGATACAGATGGTAACACAGTATACATCCAAGCGACAATGCACGGGTCAACATTTCAGATGAAACAAGACTAGAGACTTGTCATCCTACCAATCCCGACCCACCCACCCCACTAGTTGCCTAAGTGTATATATACTTACAAATACTTTCATATCTTGGTCATAATGCATTCTTTCTTTCATTCATAATGTGATACACGCACTTTGCCAATCGAAGAATGACATTTCTGCGACATTAACTGGACAAATGTGAAAACACTTGGGTGTACATATGAGTAATTTGGCAAATACAGCCGTACTAACTCCACATATTTTGGACACATGGTATTCGTCCTCTATATCAGTTTCACAAAATGAACATAGACGCTGTTCTAGCTGTAACTTGGGTTTAACCCATCTCCTCCTTTCAATCATGAACATATATGAACTGAGCCTAAAACGTGTTCCAGCCACACGGTATTTTACAACATCAATGCTATTCAGATACATTTCAAAACATAAGGAATCCTTCATTGATAGGTACAGTCTGGTTTCGCTGAGACTTCATGATTTGTTTTCCCACATATATATATCATGAACACGCTGCTTTAATACAGCGATGAGTCCTAAACGCCGACCATTGTCAACTTGCACACGTTGACGCTTGGCTCAGACTAGGCTGTCAATGGCCCTAGATTCGGAAGGCATATCCGTCGGGCTGCTTGTATTGTGGTGGGTGATACATGCCATGCAATCATGCTAACGCCTTCAATTCTGTTGGTAATTAGTGTCTTGTATTACCGGGCATGATATGTATGACAGAAGAAGGGTACACCAATGTCAGGAATGAACTGCTGGCCACATGTCAATGCGTCGCTGTGTCAGGGAGTTCACAGTGGACGAAACTGTTGTTTAACAGTACGTGATTAACGTCACACTAACGACAAGGAGTGGTGAGGTTAAGTACAAATGACAGTGTATGTCAATAATACAAGTCAGGTGATCGATAGAGGATAGTGACGGTACTTTGACGGGATATAAACTGTTTTTACAACTGTCCCTTTGGTATTCAATATAAGGGCAGTGTCACAAGTGCATTCTCTGTTTAAGACTGCAGCCAAGTGCTCCATTTAAATATTTCGACCCGTGGAGATCCGGGGTAGAATAGGTATTCAGCAATTCCATGCTTGCCGTAAGACTAACGGGATCGTTTGGTCAGGCTCCCTAACTTGTGGAATCATGTCATCGTATCCCTGTTGCGTAGATCGATGTTCATGATGTCAATCACTGGATTGTCTTGTCCAGACTCAATTATTTACAGACCGCCGTCATATAGCTGCAGTGTAACTGAGTGCGGCGTTAAACAACAAACAAACATATAATATAAATATATTTATGTTTGTAAATAAAAAAAACCTCTGATAAGTAAATCATTAATCACTTTCAGTTGAAGTGTAATTGTTTATATATGATATATACATGTATATCCACAACAATTTATGCAAGGAATGCAACTAACTAAGGAGTATTCAGTAAGGGAGTATATTACTTATACTTGACGGAATGGGTAAGAAGTGTATTATTTATATTATTGACTCATCATTATGGCTTCAGTAAAGTTTTCAAAAGGTTTTATGATCTACGTGTGGAGGACATTTCCAAATTTGTCGCATCAGTGACAAAAATGATGTCCGATGCAATTCCCTATTTTGACTTGTACGATATATTCCCGTGTTCTTTAGGTGAACACTTGACTTGCCTTTGCGTGTGTTTGTGACGGGTGCCCCTGGTGGGGCAGGATATGCTAACCTTAAGCTTTTCGCGAACACCTGGTGTCATGACTATTTGATAGTGATATGCTAGTAGTCGGAATTTTAATTATCGACTCTGCTTTGTGCAGAGATTTCTATTGGATATATGTAAAGGGTTTTGTCGCTTTGATTAATTATCATTATCATGCCTGTCACGAACACCTGGTGTCATTACTGTTTTTTTTAGTGATCCATTCATATAACTTTCACCGCTCGTTTGCCTTTCACTCTTAATGGAATCTGTTTCGGAGACTTGTAACCTATGGCACCGAGAACAATGGGGAGTCGGACAACTTGGTACTTACAAGCGAGGTCCGCATATTTGCCGTGCTTTTCCTGACTCTTGTCAATCACATCAGTGTCAAAAGGGAGAGATAATTCAATGATATATCTGATTTTATTGGATTTATGAAAAAGGACAAGATCAGGTTTTTTGGTCTGGATACGTCAGAGGATGTATACGGGCCTAATCCAAAGAATTTTGTGTTTATCATTTTCCATGACGCCCTGAACATATTCGGGGTCGTACCATGGATGGACCTCTGTGTCAATACCACAAGCATGGCGAAGACGGTAATATAATGATCGAGCCACTCCATCATGTTGCTTTAGATATCCACTGCCAGCCGACTTCATCCAAGCGAAGGACTCCCCGGGTTGCTGATCTTTTCAACACACTTCACATAAACTCGATGCAGAGGTCGTTCAGATTGTCTCTCCCTGAAAAAATGAGACTGGGCCGATTTGATATAGCACTTCGCTTGGTTGACACACGTATCTGTACCATCCAGCAGAACAGAACTAACGACAAATCAACATTGTCATTAAGATTATGTCCCTCCTCCTGTGCCCCCGTGGAATGCCTTGTTTGTATCATGAGTCTTGACATGCTTCACAAGAGGATCATCAGACAAATAGATGTGTGCAAAAGTATATTGTTTCATGCTGTGATCTTGGGGATGTCTTCCGATGGCATTATCCCCTGCAGCAATGTTTCAGTCCACGGTTCCTTCATCAAATCCAGTACGCTGTGAAGCTATGTAATTGTGGTCTCCTTCTATTCATCTGTAAAATGACCTACTCGTTTGAGCCAAAATCAATTTAAAGTGTATCTCACGGGCGAGCCAGCTATCATGGCACTCTTGGGGGGATTTCATAAAACATTCATCTTGCATGAATTTACAGTAAAAGACAAAACACAGAATGTCTTGCCGCTCCTTGAATCTTAGGCCACACTGGAGCGAATATATTTCACGTACATGATAGCCCATTGATTTTGTTATTATGCTTTCACGTTACGTAGATTACCGTATTTAATTACAGCTCAGGATATGCATCACAGTCGTACATCTGGTGGAATAAGAATATCTTCCGCGGAGTTCTTATAAATCTATTGTTTCAGTCTACAAAAATTGCACCTGTGTCCCAAGCACAGTCTGGGTTTCTGTACTAAAAGGGTGACTTTACTATTCTGTGTGGTGCTCATTTTCAGCATATATGTACACTGTCTCCATGTGTAACCTTAACAATAAAGTTCATTGACAAGCAAAGTGGTATTTGAACCATTTAGATACTTAGTTTCTTATTTGATCAGCAACTGATCAAATTTGGATTTGTTTGACAGTTGTTTTCCCTGGTCCATAACCTAATCCCTACCACAACCCTTACTCCTGATTACATAGACTAAGCCTGTGACCAGGTATATCTAATTAGAAGCGACAAAACCCTTTCCCTATTCATATGTGTCAGAAGCAGAGTCGACTGTACGATTCCGACTATATCATGAACATGCGTTTATGGATCACTATCAGCTAGTGATGACACCAGGTGTTCGTGAAAAGGTGAGCGTATCCTGCCCCACCGGGGGCACCCTTCACAAACACATGTAAAGGCAAGTCAATTGTTCACCTAACAACACACGGGAACATATGGCACAAGTCAAAATAGGGAATTGCTGTCATCATATTGTCAACATCATAGTTGTCACTGATACTTCAAATTTGGAATGTCCTCCACATGTCTGTCATAACACTTTTTGTGGACAGTTATATTCCAAAACTCAACCTGCCTTGTTCCGTATGACACCTGCATGAGGTTGTCCTGGCGATGTTGTGACACAGTCAACTTATGTTTGAATTCAGTACGAAAACCCGCACATGATGCAGCGGAATGTTGTAAATATTTAAAGCAAAAAAAACCCCATAAAACATAAAACTAGAGAAATAGTCCCACTTCATGTTGTTGTCCTGATGGGAAATCAAAAACTCTTGTTCTCAAGATTAGAACGATAAACGGTTGTGCATGAAATTAGTGTGGGCAGCAGTATCAAATCACGTAGGCATGTAATCAATGTTTAATGTCCAAATGTATCGTAGGAAATGCCATGAACTGATTCCCATTTAAAGAACGTTGGGTTAATGCTCTGACGCCATGACTGAGAATTAAGAACACTAAAGAATCTATTTTGGTTTTCAATATAAATAGGCAAGATAATTATCATTAATTATTACACACGGGTTCAATATGGACAGCAATTAGTGGCCCCAGTGTACAGAGGCAAACTGATTAGAAAGGGCATAAGACTCCATTCCCTTCCTCATTTACACATTAACGGTAAATGTTTAAATATTGGTGACAAGATATCGTCCATGTGCCAACATGATTCTATGAAACTGTCGCTTAAATACATGTATAATGTGTATATTCCATGATAGCTTCGCCCTGACGGTGTTGCAATACCTGTAAATGTATACTAGTATTACATATTATATTTATATTATTTTCAGTTTCACTTCCGGTGCGCTAGTCCCGACCCTGGCATCGTGAGGATGAACACATCCTTCGTGAGGCTGGTCCTCAAACACAATAACAGAACAAACTTCCATTTCAAGATAACATTCACGGCTCGGAAGCCTGGTAGGTTTTGACGTCACCTGTTATCACAAACACTTCATCATCTGCCAAACAAACATATAAACGCGGGTCTCAAGGACGAATCGATACAATATTTGTAAATGAAATCCGTAGTGGCATGATTACCTTGCCGCGGATTACATCCTGTTTCAGCAAATTGGGCAATTATCTAAATGCTGCCTACAGTCATAGAAAGGGTCAGACTTATAACCCCCAAAGCATATTTTCATGGCTATTTATATAGCTTTATTCTTTTGAAGGGTCGTAATTATTTAAAATCGTGATTCACTTTAATCATTTCCAAGGTTTTTATTAAACTGTTGACGTCTTGCTTTACTGAACATGTTCACATCCCCCACAAGTGTGGTGCCGATGTTAAGGAGATCAACACTGGCTAGGTGCCCGCTCTGCAAGTAATTGCAGTACTTGCGTGTCCGTTTGATATTTGCACTTAGAATCTGTTCCACCTGAGATGGTAATGATTAAAGCAATGCATTTGTCAAACTCCATCTTCTCCTTCCACTCCACCTAACAGGTCTTAAGTTAATTGCTGACTGATTTCAAACATATTTTTTTCAGCTCATAAATGTGATGACTTTTTGTGCCAGAACAAGTATTGCATATCAAAGGATTTACTATGTGATGGGACAAATAATTGTTTTGATCGCTCCGATGAGTCAGAGAATTCAACTGCTTATTGTATAAGTAAGTATGCTGATTGAGTTTGTGCCATGATATTGATCGTTCTGCTCTGTAAATAGTTCATCAGTCTGTGTATCCATCTTTCTAATAATGCATATCTTTGTCTGTGATCTAACCGGGGAGGTTCAAGATGCGAGGATTTAGAATATGAATTGCAGTCATGGTACAGAATGAGAAATAATCATCTCTTCCTGAAACCGAAACCGACCCTTAGCCATTCTCAATTTATCGGAACAAGTGTAGAGCCATGGAAAATTTAAAGACAAGTTCAGATGTAAACACTTCCTACGTATACTATTTACTTTACTAAGTACATATGCTAGTATTGCACAGGTTTTAAGGACTTCCAATTGGATTACTTTTCAGAATACGATCCCTTTCCGGGTGAAAACTTTGCAGTACTCATATCAGTTGTTGGGGGCAGTATTGTCATGGGTATCATTGCCTTTTGTTGTCGAATGCTGAGGCGGCGGAGACAGCAACACTATCTGGAGGAAGATATGGATGATTTTGCAAATGGACCTTATGTAAAAAAATATGGTGAGAACCTACGATTCGATTATAAATATAACAGTATACATGAAGTTGATCTCATATGCTTTGATGTCAAATTTGAAGCAATGTTTCAGATAAAGTCTGATATGTCAGTAGTCCTCGATCCGTGATCAAGTACCGCATTGACTATTCCATGATGAATCATGAAACATAAGATTGTTACGATATTGATTCGGTGAAGTTGGATAAAAGAAATGATCAGTGATTGGTAAATTAAAACTAATGAGGTATCTGTAATAGTTTTATTTGTGTTCATTGTTATGTAGTTTAATTGTTAAATACCGTAGCGTATATGCACATCTCTATATGACACAGTGTGTTACTTTTCTAGAGCTCTTATTTCCTGTAAATATGTTTTGTTACATTTTCGCAGAAAACGCCTCATTCTTGTCTATGTGTTTTTGCAAATAGTTCTTTTTCCTTCTCCTAAAATACTTTGTTAGTCATTTTCCTTGACAATGCACACTATTCTCACTTCCTAAAACACAAGTTCCTACCCCAATACTTCTTGCATACATCCTCATCACTGTCACCCCACGCACTTTCTCAACACGTGTGTTTCTCTCACACAAACCATCGAAAACAACCTCAGAATGCCTCTGATCCCCAGACTATTTCTTTGGAACACTTTAGAACACCTTCCTTTTATCCTCTGATAAACAGTCTTCACTTTATACTTGATTATAGAATGGACCTTTATAGCTCTGGAACTATAGTCTGGGGGACTCTCTATAGGCATTGGATTGTGCTCTCACGAACAACGAATTACCACATCACAATATAATATCGTGCAGTATATGTCCACTCGTACGAGGGGTGGCTACAAAGATCTGAGGCAGCATATTTCTGAATATTTCTGCAGGCATCAAATAGTCTCGGTATTCTCTGCTGATGAAAAGTGTGTAACTGCACTGTTATCAAAGATCTCCATCTGAAAGGGCTAACTTCAACAGCCATCCATGCGCACATTGTGTGAACTTTAAGGGATGCTGATTCTTCCTTTGCCACTGTTAAATGGTAGGCAGCGGAGATAAAGGCGGGAACAGAGAGCTTTGCAAATAATCCAAGATCAGGAATACTTCAACTGCCATAGCTAATGAAAGTGTTGAAAAAATCCATGATGTGGTTATGGAGGATCGAGGAATAACCACACGCCACATAGCCAAAACGGTAGGCATCTCCGATGAGAGAGTTGAGAACATTCTGGGGAAGAAACTGGGCATGACAAAGGTTTCTGCACACTGGGTTCCAAGGCTTCTGACTCCTGATCAGAAACACTCCAGGTTCATCTTCGTTCATGATTTGCGTCGTTTGGAAGCAGACCCTGCAGTACACACGGATGGGTCTTGGGTTCGCCACAACAGCAAGAAAACGAACAACAGTCAAAGTCTCCCCCTCTGTGCCTAGTGGTTAAATTGTTCGTCGTCACGAGGGTTCGATTCCTCACATGGGTACAATGTGTGAAGCCCATTTGTGTCGTCCCCCGCCGTGATATATGCGAGGAGAAGTAAAACCATACTCACTCAATCTTTCACTCTTTTCCTTCAAAGCAGGCAAAGCCTGTTCAATCAGCTAGGAAGGTGGCGGCTTCGGTTTTCAAAGGAATCCTTCTGATGGACTACCGCCCAAAAGGTCAGACCTTTAATGGCTGATATTATGCAAATCTGCGTGACAATATCGAAGCTAAACGCGCGTAAACAACTCACGAATACCCATGTGCACACATCTGTTGTTGCAATAGTTGCAATGAATGACTGTGGCTTTGAACTCATTGAAGATCCTCCGCACAGTCAGATCACAGCCTCTTCCCAAACGTTAAGAAAAATATGTCCGGCGAGAATTATGCAAATGTCGTCATATTTCCTCTTGGGGACTTTTTACACCACCAAGGGGAGGTCTTCTACACAAGCGGGATCCAGACACTCCGTTGTCGTTGGTAGAAGCGTGTGGACGACGAAGGGGATTATGTTGAAAACTGGCAACCAACTCGACCAACGCCGTCCGTCACACTTAAACTCAGAACTTTCCAGCCACCCCTCATATTCATATCGACCCTTTGGAGGTACACTGTCATTTTCTTACACACCGAGTGCTGCAATCTCCTGTTACCTTGATTCGTAAATTCGTGATTCTTCTCCAAAATTCCAATGTGTTTCTACCTTCTCCAAAACTACCGCCTTCTGCACATCTACCTTCGCTCCAGCAATGCCCTATATATAAACGTTCTACCTTCTCCAAAACTACCGCCTTTTATATCAACCTTCACATTAGCAATGCCCAATAGATAAAGATTATATCTGCTTCCAAAATACCACCTGCTACATATCTGCCTTCGCTTCAGCAATGCCCAATATATAAAAATTATATGTGCTCCCAAAATACCAAATTCTGCACATCTTTACTCGCTTCAGCAATGTCCAATAGATCAAATATATATCTGCTTCCCAAATACCACCTGCTGCATATCTACCTTTGCTTCAGCAATGTCCTACAGGCAACAGTGCTGGTTTGCTCACGACTACCCTCTACCTACCTTCCGCTTCAGCAATTCGCAACAGGTCAAGGTCCTTCCGACCGTATGGTCAAGTCTCTCCCTGCATAGCCCATCAGCAATGAGCTGTTGATAACTGTCTTCCCTCAATAACAGGAGCTGTCTGTTTGCTTCACTATTACCGTTCACATATACCCTTCACTATTACCGCCCAAACACCGTCTCTGCTTCACTCATACCCTAAAGGTAGTAGTGTTACCCATCCCTGAAAGCACTGTTAACAATCTTGACCTCTTGTCTGGCCATACACCTCTTCTCTCTCTCTCTCTCTCTCTCTGAATAGTAATCGCCGCTAATACTCCTGATGACAATAGTTGCTGCAACTACAACCTGAACGTATATTTCAGCGTATATGTATGCTGTTATACGACCTCAGCAACGTACACGGAGGAATCAACATCGATCTCGGTCCAAACTGAGACACGTTGACCATTCTGGTGAGAGCAGACCATTGATAATGCAGACTTGCCTTCGTGTATAATATTCAAACAGACTGAGATACAAATTACCGTCTTTATCATCAAATTATGACTATGATATATAATAACTAAATTAGGCGTATAGTGTCTAGAATGAAAGAAAAACACGCAAAACCTGGTAGAGTCAGTGTAATATAATTTATTCTGTATATACGATTATATGCATTCACAAATAGGAACTATCACATTCACAACAACCAATATATAAAACATTCATAATATACATAGTTTTATCTGATAGCGTTTTTGTTACTTTTGTTTTTCATTTGATACATATCTCATAACCTTTAACATCGAAAATATTATCGAAAAATGTATCTCTTCTACATTAAAATGCATGGCCTCTGAATCAGACGATGCCTACCTGTTGTCCGCTATGTTTGCAAGATATGATCATGATACGCATCAGCAGATTCTATCGTTGCAGATAACTTTGCTTTTTTGCGCTGCGTCTCATAAACAATAACTTTTCTTGCAGTTGATGAGCCGGAGTTTTGACGCCAGTGCATATCCACCTCTGCCAAATGGCTTGGCGTTTCTAGGAGAACTATTAAAGTCGTCTTGCCTTATTTGTGATCTACCTCGAATTCCAAGGAAGGAGCATTACGCTTTCTTATTCACATTTCCACACTTTCCATGACGGGCAACACTGTTTCGCTCATCTAAATTATTACCGTGGTTCATATAAGTTGGTTCATTGTGATGCTCGGGTGCAGTCATTTCGAAATGCGATGAAGAAATTATAACGAGACTAACTTGCATTTGTTTTTTCATCGTTTTTAAAGAGCATGAAATATGTAGATTCTCTCCTTCAAGTGGCTGTAGATGAGGACAGAAACATATTTACCGGAACTTTAACAAAGTAATACTTTTACCAACCGGCAATAATGTATAGCGTGTGTACTTCAATACATACTTTGCATAGGTATACGTTACAACCAATTGTCCTGTGTTTTGTATAGCATTAAGTCTTAAACAAACTTTAGAAAACTTGCACAGTGTTGTATAAATATATGTGGTTCACTGGAAAATCGAAAAGCAGAAATGATAATGAAGTGTTCGTTTCCCGCGTCGAGGGCACAAAAAAACGGTAGCCACATCTTTTAGGGAAGTCCTTAATCAATGAAGCATTGCATTTTTGCAATGACACATTGGTGGCTTTAGCTGTTCATTTATTTGCTATGGATTGAATAGGTTTGATTGCTTGTGAAATATTTGAACATACGGTCACAGTGTTGAGGGGCCCACACGTGAAGGCACCAGCATGCTTGTGATATCTCACCGAGATCCTGGTCAGGCATGTCAAGGCTTTACACTGTGATGTTAATTAATGGATCATTGAAAAGTGTCTGCATAACATAGGGATTGTCTATTCGTCGAAGTAAACATGTGTTATTGTTTCATTGATGTTTGAAGGAGTTCACGTGTTTGATGTTTCAAACATTGCATGCGTTTGATGTTTCAAACATTGCATACGTTTGATGTTTCAAACATTTCATGCGTTTGATGTTTCAAACATTGCATACGTTTGATGTTTCAAACATTGCATACGTTTGATGTTTCAAACAGTACATGCTTGATGTTTCAAACGTTTAACGTGTATAATGTTTCAAACATTTCACATGTGCTATCTCTCAGATTCTTCATGATTGATGTTTGATGTATCAAACATTTCATGTTAGGTGTTTCAAACATGGCAATTTCTATTTGAACAATGTATTTACGATAGCAGCATAATGAGACCAACTTTACTATGTATGATCATCTCCAGATTTGCTGGCTCGTTGTTTTGTGTTAATAATCATATGGGAATCACAATCATACATATGCAGTAATAAGCTGTCAGTGAACATTTAGCGAAAAGCAATAGTTGCCTGGAAATAGGTTAAATAACACAAACAGCACAATACAACAAATATTGAACTGTGCTGGTGTCATATGGTTAGCATTTCATTTACTTGGTAATAATCTTTTGAACAAATTGAAAAAAAATATCATATTTTGAGACACAATGGCAAAACTTTATCCACTAGCCCAAAATTTCAAAATCCGTATTTTTCTGTTTTACTTATCCTTTAAAAGTATTTGTATCATGAGGCGAAATTTGACAAGCAAGATATATCTTGTTTTCTGTAAATAAGTGAAATGAGTATAGTTTTTTATATAATTATATTCTTTGTGCATCGTTTATCATGAAGTGCAGAACTATTATATGCTCGTGTCCCAAATGTGCTAAAAGTCTCCGTTCGGTAATGTATGAGTGATATATACAGTACATTGTATAAAGCGCACTGTAATCTATAGGCACCTACCATTAACATCCATTAATAATGGCAAGATATATGTATAACAGCTTTTATAGGCAATATTTCTCTATTTTTATATAAATAAATGCTGGTATGAAAGTGGTGAAGGAATGGTTTGGATTTGTGAACTGTCATATTGTATTGTGTTTAGCATTGTCAGACATGCCCATCGTGACACGTAATGCTATGTTGATCACCTTTATCAGTATGTGATAAACCATTAAACGATAGAACCTTGAAACATTGATATACCACGTTGAACCTTCGTGTAATATACATGTTGAAACAATATTATATCATACAAACATTGATCTTTGATATACCCTTATATGATATAAACATTGAATACCTTCTGACGCTGTTACATGTTTATCATATGGCCACTGTGTTATATCATACAGTCATTTGACATTGATATGGTTTTGTAGCATACAAGTTATCTCTGCCACAGTGATCTACATATATGATATAAACATTGAACCTTGATCATTCACAAAATGTTACATGGCAGAAATATTAATCAGTGCTGGAATGCTGTATCACCCATTCGTTGAACCTTAATACATTGTATATCATACAACATTTAAACCATGCTACAATGTTATGTCATATAAACCGTGAACCCTGATATAGCGTTACATGATAAAAACCTCAATCATTGATATGATGTTATATCATATATACTGTTAGCATTGATATGATGGTTTATCAACATAATGTATGTATATATATACAAGTACACGTCAAATGCGGTTTAATCATTTTTATTTCTACTGTCGCCAAATCATATGATCCATGTTCTAGAAATACCAACTTCCAATGCCCAATCTTGCATTAGGTTATTCGTGTGTTTAGTCTCGGTGATTCCATTAAGCTGAGGGACAACAGATGCAGCAGAAGTATTCGTGGGATTCAGGGAGATTTATCTGTCGCAGAGTACCCAGTGTGTGTGTAATACAGTAACTACGGTAACTATATATTTAGTGATGGTCATGTGAGTGTGTGATTTTGTGGTGTATGTGAATCGTGTACAAGATACGTTAGTTTGGGAATATTGTGTTCCTTATGTTATCGCAAATAAATGACGATGAGCAAAGTCACAGTGTCGAGTAATGCTTTCTCTTTCTGCCAAGATGATCAGACTGTTTACATGGAACGGAAGACAAAGCTTTATATAGTGAACTGTTTCGGCGTCAAGTCAACAGGAATGATACTGGTTTTGGTGTTGCCGCCGTGTTACAGTTGACGGTCTCAAGGGAGTAAGTTGTGGGAGTTACTACACTGGTGTTACGTCGCTCTGAAGATATTTCAGTCGTATCACGGCGTTGACGTCATCTACATGTAACACAGTACCTCCGTTTAACTAAGCATATACAACACAATTTGCGATGACACTGTTAGTTATGCCAGGACGCTGGAATTCCTGTTGTTGCCTGATAGATTGCAACATTGCCACCTCTCCTTTAACATATATTTTACAAAAAAACATATCGTCACGAAAAAGAACTTTCTTCCTGGCATAAATGATGGAACTCGTGTCTTCATTTGTCCAGATGTAACCTTGGAAAAAAAGTTGTTTACTCACTGGCATCTTCCAACACGTTGCGCGGAGCTAAATCTCCTTTGATATTTAACATTCTGCGGAATATGAGGTGTTGGTTTTATAAAAAGGACATTATTTGAATTTCCAGCATTACCAATAAGCTCATTACATGCTACTTAAGCCTAGAATTCTCAGATGTCACTGGGATCCATTAGGAAATGAGACTACAGAGTGTAACGAAATGTGACGTGAATCGTATTGACATTGCTTTGACAATATGTTATGTTCAACACCACATGGAAGGAAATGTGTAAAATTTATACAAAGAAAATACTTATGTGAAATTAAATATCTGATATATAATCTAAAGTGTATGTGTCTGGTACTTCATGAATGTCCCTGTACATCAGTAAGGAGTCAATTCGAGATATTACGTCAGGCGTGTTAAGTCGCCCTACAATGGGTCTGTACAGGACTGGTCGCTCATTGGTCAATAATTTTTAACGACCCCCGCCGTTCGAAGAGGTTATCAATCATGTGAAAGCTCGTTCCACAGTATTGCACATCTAACTCTCACTTTAGACGGCTTTTAGTAGATCAATGGACGATCAATGGACGTAAAGGGGAAACAAATACGTATTTGAAATATATAGGGATGTATGACTGTAACATGTATTTAACGGAATACATCTTGCTTCCCGGCGTAACATAACCGGATATAAACAGCTAAAAATGGAGATAAACAGGAATTAACTCATCAGGAAAAAAATTGTTCTTCGCCAACTTAATAATCAATATGAAATCACTTTTCATCGTAAACGTTTCCCTCAATACCCCAGAACTGAAAAAAAACTATTACACATATCAATTACTCCATAATGCCATTTTGAATAAATATTGACTCGCCTTGCCAGATAGATCCCAATCGCAAATAATACTTTCAAAAATAAACCTGCGAGACGTAAATATCTCGATTCTATACTGAAACTGAATTCATTTTATCCTCGTGTCATTCAATATAAATAGAAAACACTATACAAAAATGCACAACGATGGAGCTACGTGTACTTTTTGTCTATCTACTATGACAGTCACCCAATAAGCAAACAACCTTGCTGCAGCCCCGTGTGTATAGATAAAGTCCGCTGTACATGTACGCTTTGCCGCACCAGAAGGTTACCAAGTCGGCCCTATTCACAGTTTATTGATAACAGTGTGCGCTTGCAATCTCAGGCTTCTATCCAAATAAATTCAGCTCTACTTTGCTAGAGGGTGGATGAACTGTGTAAACTTTCTCAATGTTATCGACATTCTTGACAATATCTAAGACGCCATGTGTAATATGAGTTAATATGATTGATTTTGATCACATTTCATAAATAGTTCGCTCAATCGTGTAGTGTTACAAGCGGAGATCTTGCAACAGGGATGCAGATTTAATTACAGTCCGATTCATTGAACGGTTTGGTAATTTGCTTAAAGTATTTTTAAAACGATTCGTAATGAGGAAAGTTTGTTACATTTGGCAGTAACAAACATAATGTCCGTCGTCCTGGGAAACCCGGAGCTGATAGAAATGACAGAAATAAATAATGACAGTGCATTGATTACTTTTTCGAAGAAGGATTTAGTTGTTACAAAAAGCAGGCTCCCAACTATCAACAGCCATTGAAAAGAATGTAGTTATTAAGAAGAAATAAAGTAAACAGCAGACACTGAATTGGTTACTATCCTGAAAAAAAGGACTTAATTGTTACACTAAGTGCACATCATGCTATCCCAAGAGATGAAAAGTTTATAGTTGTTAAGGTGAAATAAAAGAACAGTCAGACATCCAATGGATATATATTTTGAAAAAAAGGGTTTATTTGTAATATGAAACATTTGTCAATGACAGTCGTGCAGTTGAGTCTGCTTATAGCAGAGATTTCTTGTGGCTTCGGAAAGGGTTGTGTCACTTTTAGTTGCACTGTGACTTAGGAATAAAAGCATTCCATGAACAAATCAATCTAGATATTTATATTAGGCACACCTAGCGAACTGTAGCATTAGAAAAAATTAAAAAGAGAAATATATTGTAATAACATAATTCATAGGCTTTACTCTGCTGGCTATGCCAGATACATTATTCAAAGTGTATGTGCCTGGTACTTATGTCAATTCGCGGTATTACGTCAACCGTATTAAGCCGCCTTAAAATGGGTGTGTGCAGGTCTGGTCGCTCATTGGTCAATATTTTTTAACGACCCCCGCCGTTCGAGGAGGTTATCAATCATGTGAAAGCTCGTTCAACAGTATTGCACATCTAACTCTCACTTTAGACGGCTTTTAGTAGACGCAGTCCCACGATCAATGGACGTAAAGAAAGAAAAAAATCTAGCAAGGGATTATATTACAAAAATGACTGAAAGATTACGCAGATGAATATATTTAACCTAATATAGACAACATGATTAGTAAGCGACGTTTTTTTTAAAGTATTTTGGAAACTGCTCTGGAAAACCTCCGATAGGTAAACTATTGATTCAAAATGTCCATGCAGTTTCAAGTAAATGGATAACAGCAAATTAAGTGCCTGGTCTATTTTTTTTTGTGGTGAAGACTTAAAAGAAAAGAAGATTTGCAGTGACAATTTTGATTTTATGACGAAGTACGTTGAGTTTCCTCCATATTAGGGGCGGCCGGGTAGCCCAGTGGTTAAAGCGTTCGCTCGTCACGCCGAAGACCCGGGCTCGATTCCCGACATGGGTACAATGTGTGAAGCCCATTTCTGGTGTCCCCCGCCGTGATATTGCTGGAATATTGCTAAAAACGGCGTAAAATCATACTTATTCACTCACTCACCCATATTAACTTCAAACTGATTCGAAGAGGGTAATGCAATAAAAAGAAGCTGCACGGCTTAGTGATTGAAAAGGTGCAACATGAAGAGGTTGACAAGGAACAGATAATCTCGAAGTGTTGTGAGTGAGTGTGTTGGGTTCACGACTCCTTAATAAATTTGCTAAATGCGAGAAGAAAGACCAAACTTGCATTGCCAAACCAAATTGAACGAATCAACCCCCCGAACATGTATACGGTGCTGACAAAACAAGGATGATAATCAGGGAGAACCTGGGATTCGAACCTGGGATCGGCGGATCCTGGTGCAAATAAGGGGCGCGAGCACAGCAAATATCGGCAACACAGTCAATTCGGCCTGCCATCGCCCCGACTCAGAAGGTTTCTGTGTCATGTATATAATTATCCATAGTGTCATCTAGTGGATATAACGGTTTACGTATCAGATATAAATGCAACATTAACACACAAAGTCCTACAGTTAGTTGTTGCTGGTTTACTCTGATCTTGGTTGTCCCCTCACATATGAGTCCGGAACATGGGTACTATCAGATATTTTACGACTGATTCACACTGTTAGCGAATTACCGCTGGACACATGAGCAGGTTCTCTTAATGGCCAAATTATGAATCTTTTAGGGAAGTATTATCCCACTATTCACGGCAGTATACATTAGAATGTAGTGAGTGAGTTTAATTTAGTTTACCGAACACCTGTTATTTGATGTTGAATCATGAACAAAGGCTCATGATATTGTTGTCATCAGACAATGGGCAATTCTTCTGATTATGGAAAGCGTTATGTTGCTTTTGTAAAGTGCGCCTTGAGCAATAGTTAAGCAATTTGAAGGTTTATCAGCTTTGTTTCAGAGAAAAAAGCGAAATCATTCATTACTTAGTTGGTTTATTGCTGTGGTTACGGTGCTCACAAGAGAAAGGGCATACTCAGGGATAATCTGGAATTCGAACCCAAAATCAGCTGATAATGACATAACTAAGGGCCACAACTCTGCATAACGAATTGTGTCGATAAATTGGTCCTGTATTGAACTTACATTAACATTAATATCGCAATATGCATACCTTCACATGACAAAGACCCAAAATATAACACATGCTTCACCATTCAAGGGACTTTTTGCGTGAACTTAAAACGAGAACGTGTAAATCATTGAAAAAAGGTACCAATTAGTTTCATAGAACTTACAACTCATAACAAAACTCCCGCCCACTAGCAACCATCTCATGTGACAAATGTGTGAATTCAAATAACCACATGATCAATACAAATGTTATACTACAATAAATATCGATCTACCAACATATGGTGACCACGTAGCTCGGCAGGTTGTTATGTACACGGTGTATTTAGTTGTGTAAGAGCGTTTATGTACACCCCCCAACTCTTACAATAACGGGACATACTAGCCAGAGACAGTCAGTCTGGCAGAATGGTTGGGAGAGATGGGTCCTGTATTGAACAAATAGTAACTTTAATATTGTATTATACATACTTTCTCATGACAAAGGCGCAAATTACTACATGCGCTACAACATATCATTCCTTTGTTTCAGCATATTTGATAAAGCATTTAAACCCTGTCTTCCAATGCAATCGTGTGCATGATCTCGAAACTTGAACTTATTGATCTTTTTCACACTTTCGCCATCTTGGATCGAAAATGAGGCTGGGTGAGCACAGCTCCATGCAGTGTGAGTCGCATCAGCTCATAGGGAACAGACAGCATGTTGTGTATTTCACTGATGGACATTTCAAACAAACAAAAAATGGTATCCTCTGTATCTAATAATTTGGTAATCAAGACAAGATAAAATATATGTATCGGTTCAAATTATGTTGATGGAACAATCTGGATTTCTCATATTTAACAAAGAAAAACAAACCGAAATTTTCATGTCTATATTTCTCACAATATAAGTTTTCAAAACTTAACATGGACCGGGTGTCTTTGTCAGTCAAAAGCACCTAATTAAATTCCAGGAGAAAATAATTTTCTTGCTTGTAAACAAATGGTACAATGTGTTTTTTTAGTGTCTGATAAATATTGGCCATGTTGTTTTGTGAGTGAATAAGGCTTTTCACTTCCTCGTCCTATTTAAGTGAAATGTGACAGGAAGCACATTTGTTGATTGAATGACTATGGCTTTTCACTTCCTCGTCTTTGACAGGACGCACATTGTAACCAGTGTGTTACTGTCAGCAGAAAGCTCCTCCAGACATCCGTCACCGGATACTAGTACTTCATTGTGTTGACTCGCTGGCCTGAAATGAATAATTCAATAATATTGTAATAATATTTCTACTTCAATAAAGAAAATGATAATCAATGCATATTCTCCTTCTCTCAAAATATTGCTTATTTAGAAAACAACTTTCTTGTGAAATAGAGATATTTAATGAAAATTAATCACAGTGTGTAACATTACATGCTACATAAGAACAATCTTGAAGGCATCAATTCATCTGATATGTCTAAAATTGATATGATTAATAATCAATAACACATGGCAATCGCTTGCACAAAAGAAATCATTTTGTTTTAAAAGTTTCAAAATATGTTTTTTATGAACATAAAACCAGATGGGTTTCACAATTAAACAAAGGGAATAAATGAGCTATGATTGCAATATGCATCAGAATTAAAAATAATTATGTTTATACTTTCAGTTAATAGTAATGTCAATGTCAGTTTATGCATTTGAAATATTGGAATACAAACTGTTAAAGAGTTATCTTTTTCTGTAAATTATATAAAGATCACATGTAGATTGAACATTTACTGGCCATTAATTAGATGGGTTTTTGTTCATTTCATGACATGATAAATTTTGTACAGTAAAGTAAATGTCATTTTGTTAAAAAAATTGTTTACAAAATTGAAGATCAAACTGTACCTTACTTCAAATATTTACACACCCTTTATGTAATAATTCAGTTGAAATATTACACCTCACGCTATCGAATCTGTCAACATTGACAATTAAAATAATAACTGTTCACAATCACAACAGCACAAGTAGATCTAGATGTCTAATATTTTATTGGAATGCATTTGAGTCCATTACAATTTACATCAAATACGCAACTGATGCAAAATTCTGATTTGTTACAATTGTAAATTCTCAGTAGGTTACAATTTGATACATTATGTCAACATATCAATTGAGTTAGTTTCTGACATATATCTAGATATGGTCAAAAGGTCAATATTTCGACTTCAAATACAACCCGCAAAGTTATTTAAACTCACAATAAATAGTTTGGTTTAAAGGTGTGTAAACAATGAATTATTCTTTACAAGATCTCAGTAGCATTTGTATCAAGTCTGTTCAACTACCATAAACTTCACTGGGAGTTACCAGGTGGTCATGGAGATTTTAAATTGAAATCACAACAGAACGGCCAGACTCAAATTTATATCGGTAAGGAGACCAGATAACAGTAGAATAGTCTGTTCAATAATGTTTAATACTAACGATAAATGTACCGGAATGGTTAAATTGTCACAGTTTGTCCCGATTGCGGTGCCTTGTTGACATCTCCATGTGTTTCATTTGCTATCCAGCCTTCACCTGCTGCTCTCCAAGCCTCGCTTTCAAACCGGAAGTAGCGAAGTGTGAAAAAGGTCAATAAGACGTTTCTAAAAGTACTCAGTTTGATTGAATTCCCAATATATTACAACAATTCCGCCCATCAAACATCGTCCCAGGTGCAATATGTGTGCAGACATTCACAGATATGCACGATACAAATGTTATACTGTATTAAATATCGATATTGCAACATATGGTGACCAACTAGATCAGCAAGTTGTTATGTACACAATACACTTAGTTGTGTGAGAGCGTTTATGAGCAGCCTGTGTCAGTGTACAGCCCCGCCTCTTACAATACCGAGACAGACAGTAAGTCCAGCAGAATGGTTGGAGGAGACATCTGACGAAACTAAAGGTATTTTCTTGATTACTGAGCAAGTATGTTGTCTGGTGCTACATCATAGTGAAGTGGTATTTTCTTTGTTTCTGTGTCGAGGTATAATTACTGTTTGTTGTATTGTACATGGTGTTCCTATTGGACAGCATTTTCTGACATTACTATTAGTGACACAGGACTGAAACTGGATCATCAGGTTCATGGTTACAGTTCTTCTTGTAACATGTATCAATCAATACTTCAATTACAAACATCTGACTGTCTTGCAAACCATCACAGGTGCCTTTCATTGACAATATCTAGGTACATATATTATTCTCATGACATTATCTCAATAATCATTGTTCATGTTTATGTTTTCATAGCAACTGAGACTGTCTCCGTGGTCTAGTGGATAGAGCGACTGCCCAGACAGCAGAAGGTCTGTAGTCTGATCCCCAGCCACATCCTCGGCATTAAGGATCTAAGACAAGAACTGGTCGGCTTGGAGTCAGTATATTGTGTCGGAGTGTGGTATTCATGTTAAAGGGGCACGGGTGGCCCAGTCATCTAAGGCGCCGTGATTCGCTGTGCACAGTAACGTCCCTTGGGCACGTCCGAAACCTATGATTGTGGGTTCGAATCCCGGTTCGCCCAGATTATGTTTCTAGGATTGTCACCACCAGACCCATGATCATGGGTTTTACCGAAGTGGTAAACGTCTGAGACCTGCATCACTTCGGGAATTCCTCCCACATTAAGCTGACACGCCTGATATAACTGGAATACTGTTAAAAGCAGCGTTACACCCAACTCACTCACTCACTTTTCATGTTAAAATGCGGCCTGGTGTCTCAATGCAATATCGGCTGGCACTATGAAACCGGCATTAATTAAGTACAAGCAACCACATACATAAACACACATACAGAAACACATTCACATCCAGTCTCTCTCTCTATCTTACACACACACACACACACACACACACACACACACACACACACACACACTTAACACATGCATCCAATAAACACATGCATCCAATAAACACACACACACACATGTGTACCTTAAGGGATTCACGCAATAACGCAAAAACGCAATAACGCGTTCCAAAACATAACTTTCTCTTTGTATTGTGGAGTGATTATTTGGGAACTGTGAAATGACACTGAGCTATTTTCAAGCATTAATGTTTTCATCCACAAAACTGTAACTCACGAACTGAGCTCTCACTTACTGACCGCTTTTATATGTTGTTCAACATTGTTGTAATTGATAGGCATTGGAACATGAACATGTGTCGGAGGCACATAACAAACTACTTCATGTCTTTAAAGATCGTAGGTCGCTATATAAGTGCAATAATCTTGGACGCGACGTTAAACCCAATTTCACCTCACCTTTAAAGATCGTTGTACCATTTCTACTCTCTGTGAGTTCATTATTGATAAAACTGCCCGTATATCAATCAAAAACAAAAATGGGTTCTTATGGATGAAAAGGTGTATGAAGTTAAGTTGAGAATGCCAATATTGTTATTTTAACATTTTAGATGGCAGTGCACCGACAATTGACAGACAACTTCTTGACGTGCAGCATCTGCATGGACGTCTTTGATGTTCCCTGTACACTTGTGTGTTATCACACATTTTGTCGGAAATGTGTCGTTAGCTATACTAAAACCAGACCAGAAGCCATCAGTGCCAAGTCTCTCCTCTGTCCATTCTGTCGAAAGATGACCAAAGTAGCCAACTCAAACAGGCCAGTTGAAGAGTGGGCACAGGAAGTGAAACCCAGTTTTTTGATTCAGGGTCTCTTGGATTCATTTAATCCCAAGACAAAAGGTATTTCCGAATAGGCTACCAGTGTTGAACTCATCCTAACATAGCTACGTTGTTCATATCCCGGGTTTGTGAATTCCTCGTATGTACATTGAAAGGTTAAAGGTTATTTCGTAATATTATAGTTCTTGTGTTGAAAAATAACTGACACATTTGTATGTATACTTGCAGATACCCCGAAGTGCATCCTATGTAGTGATGAAGGAGCGGCACCTCCAGCCACTGCTTGGTGTGCTGACTGTGACATCAGTCTTTGTGAGGGATGCCAGAAGGCTCACAGACGTATTCCTGCCACTCGTCACCATGACGTATCTGACCTGTCCACAGAGGTCAAAATCAACCAAAGACGCAAACCATTCTGTAAGCAACATCCAGATCAAAGCATGCAGTTCTACTGCAAAGATTGTAAGAAACTGCAATGTCAATCCTGTTGCATCCTGTATCACAGAAAGTGTGAGGCAATTCTACCGTTTGAATCTGTTATGCCAGAACTGATCAGCTGTGTTACAGGAGTTAAGGAAAGACTAGCGTCTCATTTACAAGCAACAGACAGTTTGCTAACAGAATTAGAAACCAAACGGACTGAGGTAATAAAGAACAGAGTCACCGTTCAGTGTCAGATCCGATCTACAATCCAGACAGTCACAGAAGCCATAAAGAAGAAGCAACGACAACTCTTGGACCAACTGGATGACGCCACTGAGAAACATATCGAGCGACTGAAAACTGAAATGAAGTCTGAAGAGATGGCCAAGCAGATGATAAGTCATCACTCTGTGATGATAGACAGAGCTCTGGAGTCTGGAAGTGAAATGGACATCTATGAGATATACCTTTGGTGTGAGTCAGAGGAGTTTCCTACAGTATATGACCCAGATTCAGATATAAAATATGAACTGAGGGAGAAAGTATGTTTTAAGCATGATTGTGAAGAGATGTGTAACAATATACACGAGGTAAGCTTTGGTGAAATTGATACCATATATGAAGATGTGTTTGATTCTACATCGACATCAGTTCTGCACGACACAGTCGACACACAAACAGAAGATGAGACAAGTTTACCTCATGTTTATGACGTGGCAGTGTTCAATGAAGGCGGTACAGACACCATAGTTGTAACTGATAATAACAACAAGTGCGTCAAATCCTTCTACACACGCAATACTCAACCCTGTCAGAGTAAGCTCTCTGTTCAGAGCCCCCCTCGGCGGATTGCAAAACTTAATGCCCATCACATGGCTGTGACCCTTCCCGAGACAAGGGAGATAATACTAATTGAAGTGACCCCTGACCTTGTTCTCCAATCATACATTTCAACGAGGAAGAAGTACTTTGGTCTGACGGCCCTGACACCGACTACCCTGGCAGCAGGATCCGGGTCGCCTCCCTGTGTGGACATCCTGGACATGGCGGGGAATGTGTTGAGGACGCTGAATCGTGTCACAGATGGGGGAACCCTTGTATCAGATCCTTTATTCCTATCTACCACCAGTCAAGGTTACATCCTGGTGTCATGCAGTCATGCCCCAAGAAGTCATGTGCTATGTATGACACCAAACGGAGATGTTGTGTTTAATTATGTACCCACAGGACAACATCGAGCAATGAATCCATGCGGCATCACTGGAACAAACACAGGCGACATGCTTGTTGTTGACGACATGTCAAACAAAGTGGTTCATTTGAGTAGTTCAGGCACATGGTTGAGAGACGTACTGACGTCAAGCGATGGCATCACTTTCCCTTATGGTCTGTACTTTGATAAGCGGAGGCGTCTGTATGTCACCAACCGCCACTGTGTGATGGTCTACAGGTTCATAACACGCACCAAACCAAGATGTACATGAAGGTGAATGAACGACTGATGGTTTTGTATAGATCTCCCTTTGAATAGTGTTTCAGTTATATAACGAGATTGAGAAACACAACCAGTGTGAAGCCAATGTAGGCGTGTTTACTCCTACTTCCGGGGTCCGATGACTGACTGTGTTCGATCCTGATGATGAGATGATGATAGATGCACAGGGGCGCAAGCGCATTGTTATGAAACAATATGTTTACGAAAAAATACTTATTTCTAAGGAAAAATAAAATCATTTTGTTCTGCTGTGTCCCTTTTGTATTGACATGTGCATACAATCTATTGTATTTACAGTGTTGTTTAATTTTGCAATTTATCGTTCGGTTGTTATGAAGTTATTCGATTACTTCCATTTCTTTTATAAGGGGATAAAACGAGGCTGACAGGTTGGACGGTAGGTTGATTAACGTCGCACTCAACACTCTTCTAGCTACAAGACAAACAAATCACTAATACCTCACGGATCTGTATCCAACGGAGTCAAACTGTCACGTCAAAATGAGAAAAGCTTCATTTCTTCATAACACCTTAATATATTTGTCACTTATTGCTACAGTTTACTGTTTGTTGGTTGGTTGGACGGTTGGTTCATTAACGCCGCACTCAACACTCTTTAAGCTACAAGACGGCGGTCCAGTGGTTAACATCGTGACCATCTATCGATTGGAATACGGTGACATGCATCAACCAAGTCAGCAAGCCTGACCACCCGATCCCGTTTGTCGCCTCATACGACAAGCATTGGTTTCTGAAGATTCAAACACGGATCTTCCTGAAGGCGCGGGTGGGGGTGGTCGTAAAGGAGGGGTAGACTAGTAGTTAAAGCTTGGCTTCTCACGCCAGAAGCATGGGTCTTAGTGCCCGCATGGATACAATGTATAAAGCCCATGTCTTACTCTGCCAAACATTCAAACAGTTGATGACGTCACTGTTGTTCCCGACAACGAAACACGGGTGAAAACTGAACCATAACACCTCGCATTGAGAGTCAAAACAGAATCTGAGAAGCAATAAACACAAATACCCCTGGTAAATCAAATGTGAAATTAAAGATTGGACATTGTCATATGTAATTGGTGACCTTTTTATTGAAACATAGCTGCCATTAGAGAAACTACAGCCTGCTTCTACGCGGATGTCGCACTTGCATCTATAGGTTTAGCAGTCTTAATCACAAGTCTATTCTGCGCCAAATAAACGGTTAAAAATAAGATATGGAAACATTTGCCATTTATATTTGTATGGCCTAGGCAGAATATTATTTCGAGAACAAAGACATATATGCTATGTAGGATTCTGTTGGCAATTCACGACACATCCGTAACCAACATATACCGTTTTACCGATTGAAACAAACTGATAATTTAGAGAAATATCCTTTGGGCAACGAGGAAGTACGTGTTATCTGTCCCCAGTGGTATATAGTGAGTTCAGAGCCTTGGCGAGGTACTATTACTGTCCATGAAACGGATGTATTTCTGTAAACTATTTTCTATATTTCTGATAGATAACCATGGCATTCACGACTGTTTCGTGAGATTATAAGTATGTCGGCAGTGTTGTGGTCGGTGTCGACGAACAGACATATTAGCTCAGATTTTCTAAACTTGTCCTTGGATGAATGAACAAAACAGCATCAATATATATGGAAACAATATGTATTTGTAAGTAACGGGGTCACATGAGATTTTAACCGCCATTTCTCCCTTTACATCACACAGCGTTAATTGATGTTTGTTATGAAGACATACGTCGTGTTCCACGAAAAGAACCAAGCGCTGAAACGATCCCTTTTCACATCGTAGAACGGGTTCCATAGTGGTGTGGTGTGTTTTATGTATTCATTTAAATAAGAAAGACAATCTGTACAAAGGTAGTGACAGCACTTTTATTATGACAGAAATGTAAACACACGGATATGCATGTACATGTTAACAAATACACTTAAACTGACAGGAAGTGGTTAATGGTTTAAATATCAGAGTTTTATTGTATTTAAAAAATATATAATTATATACTTCACGGGGCAATAAGGCTTTAGTTTTCAGCAGTCGCCCGAAATCCGCCCTCCCCTCCCCTCCCCGCTAACTTAAATATACACGTAATACATGCACATTCAATAACGGAATATTTGTTTGACGGGTGACAATTCCAGTTATGTGCATTCATTGTTCACGTACACCACATTGATGTCTCCCAGCTCCACATCAATGTCAGACACAAACATCGCGAACACCTGGTGTGGGCACAATAAAACTGCGCACCCCCCAACCACTGCCTCACATAATAGTTCTTAAACGTTCTTCTTTCTTTTAAGAAGCAGAATCGGTGCACTTAATTCGTAGGTTAAAATTAACGGGTGACAATTCCAGTTCTGTGCTGGCAGAATCAGTGCCCTTAATTCGTAGGTTAAAATAAACGTATCGGTTTTATTAGTTTCAACAAAATCAGTTCATCCACTAACGTGTCACTGGATATTCTGGTTCATCGATCACTTGATTGTCTGGTTTGTTTACAGGCCGCCGTCTCACGATACGAGTACAGCTGTGCCGCGTCAGGGACAAATACTTCCTTTGTCATGAAAATTGTGTGAATGGCGAGTGCTACCGATAGGGCCGGACATGCTTACCCTTTTCGCGAACACCTGGTGTCATCACTCAGTATCAGTGGTCAATTTATATAAATTTCATAACTTTTTTGCACTTCACGTCAAATTTGTATCTGTTTCGGCGGACAGTCTAGACTGATTGTTCTCTTGTATTGGAAATTCATATTTACATAAACTATTGTCACTCAGATGGTGACGGATTCTATCATGAACAATCGTTATGCTTCCACATCTTAGGTGTTTCTTGTAAATCTGTACATCTTCACACAGTCATCATCGGTGACATACAGGTGCTGACTTTCACACAGGTAGAGACCTTGCGGATATGTAATACCATCACGTGACGTCAACACTTTCCTCACAAACGTCCCAGAAGCGCTGAGTTGAATCACACATTTTGCATTGTCATCTATAACCAGGATATGTCCTGTGTTGGTTTCAGTGATTCCAGCAAAGAAAGGCCACTGCTGTGTAGGATGATACCAGAACACAACATCTCCATGAGGAGTCAGACAGAGGACACTGCGAGCTCCGTTTACACAGCAAGACACGAGGATGTTACCCTGCCTGGTGGTACTGAGGTAACAAGGATCTGATACAAGTTTCCTTCCATCTGTGACAGGAACTAGGATCTTCAACACATTCCCCGTCATGTCCAGGATGTCCACACAGGGAGGATCCACGGATCCTGCTGCCAGGGCTGTCGGTGTCAGGGATATCACACCGTGGTACCCCTTCCTTGTCGAGATGGTTGAGTGAAGAACCAGCTCAGGCTTCACTTCTACTATTATTATTTTCTTGTCAGGGAGAGTCACAGCCATTTTATTGTTGTTTATTTTCGCAATACGTCGAGGGGCGCTTTGTAACCCCAGCTTACTCTGACATGACTTCTTGCTTCTTTTGTAGAAGGATTTCACACAATTGTTGTAACAATCTGTGACAACTATAGTGTCTGTGTTGTCTATAACAAACACTGCCACGTCAAGAGCATTGGGTTTCTTCTCATCATCTTCTGCCTGTATGTCCACTGTGTCATACAGAACTGCTGTAGATATAGAATCAAACACATCTTCAACAATGATATCAACCACACCAATGTGTAGATCGTTTAGTTCCTCACACATCAGCAGACGATTATGTAGAAAACAAGCCTTGCCCCCAGATACATCCTCCATACCTGACTCCGGGACACACACAGTGGCTGCCTCCTCCGACTCACTCCACAGATACATCTCACAGATGTCCACGTCACTCTCAGACTCCAGAGCTCTGCCCAGCAACTCCGAGTGTTGACGAATCATCTGCCTGGCCATCTCCTCACGCTTCATGTCCCCTTTCAGCTGTCCTATTTGTTTCTCTGTGACGTCATCTATTTGTTCCAGGAGTTGTCTTTCCTTCTTCTTTATCAAGTCAATGGCGGTGTGGGTTGCTGATCGGACCTGAGACTGAAGGCTTGACTTGTTCTTATTAATTTCAGTACATTGTGCTCCCTTCTTTGCAAGGCGAGTGTTTGATGTTGCTAAATCAGACTCTAGTTTCTGTTTTACAGATTGAAGAGTGTTTTGCATTTCAGGCAACACAGACTCAAGCGAGACAATGGACTCACATTTTCTGTGATACAAGGTGCAACACGATTGACATTGTAGTTTCTAACAGTCCTTGCAGTAGAACTGCATCCTCTGATCTGGATGTTCTTTACACATAGGTTTGCGTCTTTTCTTCACCTTGACATCCCTTGACAAGTCAGATACGTCATGGTGACGGGTGGCAGGGATACGTCTATGTGCCTTCAGGCATCCATCACAGAGCTAGACATTACATTCGACGCACCAAGCATTGGCTGGAGTTGTCTCCCCGTCCTCATCACATAAGTTGCAGTTATTTGTTCCTGAAAAGAAATTTGCACATGTATTATGCTGACATAGATAATATCTAAGGTGGTGTACAGAGAAATATAGGTTCTATTAGGATGCACTGAGAAAGTGCTTCACATGAATAGGAAATATGAATATAAGAGCACCTATTTGCGTCATCTTTATAAAGACATTTATCCTTTCCTTTATCAGTACCCATTTAAGGGGCACCAGTGATGCAGTCTTCTAAATCTGCATGCCTGCATCCCTCAAATCCCAGAGTCACCCTCATTATGTTTCATGGTATGTCGGTACCATTCTTGTGCTCGTGGGTTTACCCAAAGTGACATTTGACATCGGATCAAGTTTTCCACACTCATCAAACTGACACGCGATGCTATAACTGGAATACTCAAGTACACATTTCACGTTTAGGTTGGTTCATTTTGGAATTCCAACATAGAAAATACAGTACCTGTTAAAAAAATGTACCTTTCAACTGGCAATAAAAAAACCTACAAGCAGCACTCGTCTTTAAAAGCTTACAAGTTTTGCGAAGACATGTTAGAATGTCACTAAAAATATAATTCTATTAACTTGAAAATTACAAAATTAAGTTAATACAACAATAAATTGAAAAATGAATTTTTGTGTTCGCATGCAATATTAAAGGCGTTAATATTACAGTGTCATTGTGACTAGACAAGGT